ATGAAGGCACTGACAATGCTGAGAGCCACGTATTTGGTACTAGATGAGGCTGATCGAATGTTTGACCTTGGTTTTGAGCCGCAAATAAGGTCCATTGTTGGTCAGATTAGGCCAGATCGACAGACTTTACTGTTTTCAGCAACAATGCCACGGAAAGTTGAAAAGCTAGCAAGGGAAATCCTCACAGATCCAATAAGAGTTACAGTGGGTGAGGTAGGGATGGCTAATGAGGACATTACCCAAGTTGTTCATGTGATTCCTTCTGATAATGAGAAGCTGCCCTGGCTTCTTGAGAGGCTTCCTGGAATGATTGATGACGGTGATGTGTTGGTGTTTGCTTCTAAAAAGGCCACTGTGGATGAGATTGAATCCCAGCTGTCTCAAAAGGGATTTAAAATTGGTGCTCTTCATGGTGACAAAGACCAGGCTTCTCGCATGGACATTTTGCAAAAATTTAAGTCTGGCATCTACCATGTACTTATTGCGACTGATGTTGCTGCACGTGGTCTTGACATCAAGTCCATTAAGTCAGTGGTGAACTTTGATATTGCAAGAGACATGGACATGCATGTACATCGGATTGGTAGAACAGGTCGTGCTGGGGACAAGGATGGGGTTGCATACACTCTTATAACTCAGAAAGAGGCACGATTTGCTGGTGAATTGGTCAATAGTTTGATTGCTGCTGGGCAGAATGTGTCTGTGGAACTGATGGATCTTGCTATGAAGGTAACATATGCTATTCTATATGTGGCTATATCTAATGCAGTTATACACGTAATTATGCCATTAATCTTTTGCTAAATGTTAAGTATAATGATGATGGTTTTACTTATGGAACTCTAATCCATAATTAAACTTAATCCAGCTAATGCACTAAATGAATATAAATGAATTCATGTTTCTTTGCACACATGTTAGATGATTGGCTTTCTGCATTAATGTGAAAAGATTCCTTCCAGACCGTTGGGCTTTTGGCATTTGTGGAGGAAGATTCCTTCTGTATAGAAGACAGGGTTTAAGACTGTTTAGTTAAACAAAAAATTACTTGAAATAAAAGGAATTGAATTTAAATTAACTCTTGGAGTACATGTGACTTGATAATGAGATAGACTTGAAACTTAGGTAGACAATTTATATGGTATATGGAAAAGTTAAGGAATTTAGAACCAAATGTTTGTGATAATAGCGAGTTCCGTGTGGCTCTTGTGCTGCATACTAATTTTCTGTTTTATTCTATTTAAGTATGTTTCCTTTGGAGAAGGGAAGACATGGTGGGACTGATGCTTTAGAGATTGTTTAGTAAGTTGTTACAGGATGTTTTCATTTCTTGAGATCATTCAATATGGTAATTGCTGATGATTTGATATCCCTATGTCTTTCTGCTGTCTGAATCCGTTATTTCTGTATTAAGCATGATAATCTTTAGGATAAAAGTTTCTTATATTTAGTTTATGACACCGCAAGGAGAAAATCATTAGAAGCTTGGTCCATATTGTGGCGGGAAAAAGATGTGGAAGATGAGAAAACGTCTTTAAACATTTGTAATGCTGCTAATCTCACATCTTATTGCATCTCCGAATGTCATTCTTGTACCATGTCATGTCATTTTGAACATGAGTTGCACAAGAATAATTATCTAGGTAGCTGGGGAAGCATCAATAGATTAGGTAAAGAACATGAAAATGAATGTTGAGATGCTTTGAAAGCAGCATGCTTCCTCTGTTTTCTTCCAAATTTTTATTGTATTTTATGCTTACGCTAGAGTTTAGATTCAATGTGCATGAATCATAATCATTGAGCCCTGTTTACCTTGTAAATCAATAGGATGGAAGATTCAGGTCCAAGCGTGATGCAAGAAAAGGAGGTATGGTTTCCATATAGTGTACAATTGAAATCCTGCTGAGATCCTCATGGAAATTAAAGTAAACTTTTGATTATAAACTTTAGTGAGGGAAAAAATGTAAATTTAAATGATAAACTGGTAGTTGATGTATCTAGATTTTTTTGTGGCCTGGGTGTAAGTATATTAAAACTCGTGTAATGTATTGTGCAGGTGGTAAGAAGGGCAAAGGGAGAGGAGGCGGCGGTGGCGGCGGCGGCGGCGGCGGGGGTCGAGGTGTACGTGGTGTTGATTATGGCCTGGGTATAGGATATAATCCGGAAACTAATAATACTTCAGTTCAGGCTGTTCAAGGTCGAAATGCCGCTGTTAATTCTCTCAGGACAGGAATGATGGCACAGTTCAAGAGCAACTTTGTTGCTGCTTCGTCGAACTCGCAAAGTCAAAGTTTGAGTAGCAGTTCAAGTGCATATCTGACAAAGAAGCCAACATTACCTGGATTTGTATCTGCTGGTACAATTGGTGGTGATATAAGTAGAACTCAGACAACTAGCACATTCAGTCCTGCTCCCACGTCAGGTGTAAAGCCCACTTGTGAGAGTTCTGTACAAAACTCCAGTCAGCAGAAATCAGAGGGGTGAGATTGCTGATCTGGCCTTTACTTATTTCTTTTGCTCACTTTTGGCTTTTTAAAAAGAATTGCCCTCATGCTTATTATCATCGTTTGTTTGTGCTATGCAGTTCTAGAGGTAGGCCAAGAGAGAGACGGAGGCCATCTGGCTGGGACAGATAGATTATCTGTATTGCATAAATGAGAATCTTTATCTTTATCAAATCTTTGAAATAATCTTGTCTGTATAAGTATTGTTCATGCTTAGTAAGTTCCTCTTTCGCTTTCTGTTCAGTTTCTTTTTATTGATTTCAATCTAGATCTGATAAAGTTAGGAAGTTATATTTTCAGCAATTGAAAAAAATTATGTTGCTAGTTGTTTACGGTTCCAGAAGAATGCCTAGAATAGAAGAAAATCCATCTTGGTACACATGTATTTCAAGTGTTTCTTTTGTCTGGATTAGCAAATAGGTCTGACTTTTCCTCATTTTTTCTGTCTTAAACGAAAGAAATTACTAGATCGTTTTTTCCCCATCTTTATACAAATTTTGTATCAACTGATCTGTTCCTTGTGTTGTTAAGAGTACATTTCCCCCCCTTTTTTTTTTACCCAAATGATATCGGTGTGAGCATGTGTTGTTCAGTTTGATATCTTCCTTTTCTTTCCTTCACTGCTGTGGGTCAGGAAGGTTTGTGGATATCTGTAATGGACAGCTTTTACGTGTACAGCTAATTGTTATAGTCACAATATCTAAAGCTGGAAATGCAGGAGTGAAGATGCTCGGCCAGGAACTGGGACCGTCCGTAACAAGATAGCCATGGAATGATGTTCTGTTAAAGTTGGAAACTTCAAGTGACAGGATTTACCATCTAAAAGATATGATGCTTTGTGCTCAAATTTTGCACATGCAGTACGGGGAGTTTGTCACGGATCTGAGCTCCAAAGCAGCCTAATTTGTTATTTATGTTGATTGAATCCTTGAAATTCAAAGCATGCATGTGACGCAATGTTTTTACATAAACTAGGCTGAGAAAATCTTATGATGATTTCGTTTTATAGCTCAGATGTAGTTATTTGGGCAATCCAGATTCTAGCGTTAATGGGCTTAATATCGGTAGAAAAAGGACTTCTATACACCAAAATTTTAAGAACTGCTTATACCAAGAAGAAAAGATCTGGATGAAAGAATTATTTTGTACGTATATGTTAATGTGAAATTCTTTACTTTTATATCTTTAAATTCGATAATTATTTGAAAAGTAAACTGCTTACTGTAACAAGCTGATTTGAAACAATTTAGTTTGACTTTGAAGTAAAATTTGAAGATCTATTGGTGTTAAATAAATATCAATATTAATAATCTTTTCTTCAACTAAAAAAGAAAGAAAAATAACACAGAGGCTGAACAATAATATATCGAACTGGACATACATCAAGCTTCGTAGCCGTGGGTGTCGGTGATACAGTAGACAACAGTGCCAAGACTCACATGTGATAGACAATTACTAATGCCAACTTCTATGCTTTAGGACATTGCATTTTACTTTCGCTTCTTTGAACATTATTATTTCGTCGACTGGCAATTGGGCATATCTCCAAGCAAGGTTCCTTGAGGGTGCTGTCATCTTCCGGCAATGGCGGATGAATGCCAAATTTAAACTGCAAGTACATGAAAATTAACAAAATCATCTGCCAATTACTTAATTGCTTATTGGAAAGGAATAAAATGAATAGACAAGTTTACTCTTTCAAAACTGGCTGCCGTCCTGAATAATGTTGTAAGAAATATAGTTGCCATGGTATTTGAACTTAGGTCAGCCAGCATATGGCAAAAAGCTGATGGTTCAGGCTGACCAGAGTTTGATGTTTCAGCTGGAATTTGAATCCTTATACTTTTAAGTATCGAGAATACACAAAATAATTAACACCTTAAAAGTCTTAGAACCATCTAAGAGAGTGCTGACTCTCCTTAAAATGTAAGAGCTTATACGCTCTTCAATATGTGCAAGCTATTCAACTGTTTATAAGCTGCTATGATTTTTTCACAAATAAACTGTTGGTGGATTGGATTATATGAATTTATAAGCTGTACCAATTTATTTATGTAGTTACTACAAATACAATTTATAAACTTTCAATTTTGTGCAAACGACAAAAATGACACTATTTAATTCTTCTTTTGAGAAATACTGTTAATAAAAATAATACCATACATTTTATAGAGATAGAAATTTTAAAATTATTAAGGGGTATCTAAATCTCTTCCTTAGTAACCACTGACAGTTTTGAAAAAGCTTATATAATGTTAAGCTCTCACAAAAACCACTCCCCAAGTTTCAGAATTTTCTAAAAATATTACGGCAAAAACTTATAACCTATATGATTTATAAGCGTTTCTGTCCTTTCTACTACACATATAATATGATTTAAAACACCACCACTCTCAGGGAGATTATAAATTTATATTAACCAAAAAATGACTAAACGAGCTTTTGGGTACCTGACAGCTATAATCACTGAAATTTGGCTCCATCACTAGAGGAACCCCCATGTAGTCCTTGAAGAAAGCCTGCAAAACCATGCTACGAGAGATGATGTTCATTTTGGATGAAAACAACCAACTGAAGAATGAGTGCCTCAGTTCAACATTTGTTCAAAATAATAGGGTACTTCAAGTTTCTTAAAGCAGTTAAAATTTATTTAACAAATATACAGTTCAACAATTGTACAGCGTGTATCTAAAAAAAATTTAAAAAGTTTTTAAGAATATATTTATTAACACTAATATTTTATGTCTATATTGTTAATTTTAAGAGAAAATAGAAAGTAATTAAGTAAATTACTTAAATATAAAAATGAAAACTTAAAATTTAACCTACTTATTTTCTATCATCATAAAATAAATTTTAAGAACCTAACTACAGTTTGTTATCTTATTAAATGTGAAGATTGGAGGTAGGATGCTTACAACTGCTTGTAAATAGTAAAAGAATTGCAAAGACACTCTCAATCATGCTAACCTGTGTAGGTAGTTTACAGGTATTGATGCAAACTCCTACGCATTTACTTTCTTCCAAATACTTGCATTTCTCGACAAAAACCTGCATGGATAACAAGTGCATAAACAAGATCATCAACATTTCCTATAGACTAAAAATTTTTAGCAATAAGAATGCTAGTATTTGATTATTTAAAGAACATGAAATATCAAATAATCACCCCGCTTTTCCACGAGGTTCCATTCGAAAGATCAACAGAATTAACAGTGCATGGGCCCATAAGCCATTGACAAGTGAGCACGGTCACCCTTGCTTGAAAAACATGCAACATTTCAGACCTTCATAATGATGTGAGCATGCAGTAGTGCAAGATCAGAGCATGTAGGAAACAGAATCGTGAAAGAAGGATGTGAAGATCCAACTCACCAACCATTAAGGCAGCTACTTTTCCTCCTGCAATGGGTGCTATGAGAAGTTTATAAAGTTCTAACAGAAAAGGAGGGAATAGTGACTTCAATATCCGGACCTGCCATCAACAAAGCAGTACCAACAAATGAATGAATACTCACTTTTGTACATCACCTCATGAATCAAATAATTGGAATACCCAATGAACTGGTGAATTTAATTGCTTAATGCCTAGCAGTCTTTTTATTTTATGAGAAAGCACTAATTCCAATTATCACAAAAACTTAAAAAGCTTAATTGAAAATAGAGGTGAGCATTAATTTCAGCTGGAGAACTATTTGGTCTACTTTGGATATGTCAAGAAACCTAACAACTACCAATCAAAATAGCTCAAGTAAAAAATATTTACAGACTAAAACGAGCGAAGAAGATGTCCGTGCTTGCTTGTGTGTGATGGGAGACGATATGGATAAAAGTAATCGAAGTTACCGCAGCATCTTTAGCGTCAGCATTACTTCTGCTCTTCATTAGGAGGCGGTTTGCCAGTTCGATAAGTCCATCATATCCAGGCTTCTCTGAATCCCATCCAACTTCCTATACTGGCCATCGAAAAGAACCCAAACAATACAATCACACATTCAGTTATCATATTCTCCCATCAATCGACATGTGAAAAACAGCAACCGGCCACCGTGTTTCATTTTTCGACCTAAGCTAAAAAATTTGAGCATCTTCCCTTACATCTTTCATCTCCTCATTGTCAAATTGAGGCCAAATTACATGTCTAACATAATATAAATACAGATAAAATATGATTATTGGATAATGTCATGCTGAAGTTGAGCTCACCTGGACCAGTTTGCTGCGAAACGAATTGAGGAAGAAGTCATCGAGGATTCCTGGCTTGTATTCAAGCCTCGACGCTGAATTATCTTTAGCTTTCTCCTGAAAAAATAAGCAAAACATTTGATGCAAAATAGAGTGGGATTATCAAAATTCACTCAGACAAGAAACTGGAGATAGGTTGATGGACAAAGCTAATCAAACCGATTCTGATTGAAGCGAGGAACAAGAGACATGGAATCTTCTACTCTGGAGGAGAGGACTAGGCTGAGAATGAAGGTTCCAAGAGATAGCTGTTTGAGGACGAAGAAGAACCAGAGGCTTCATTTTCACTCTGCAGAAGCCAAGCACGAAGCTTTTTCCCTCAATTTTTCTGCAGTTCCCCGGAAAATGAAAAAAGATGAGATGCCAGATGGATCAAATATCATTCGGCTAGGAACTGAACGGTGCGTTTCGGGTCCGTGAAAAACAAAAAACGTCGTCGTTTCTTTATCAGGAGACCAAAACGGTGCGTCTTGATTTCTCTATCTTTTCATTTTCATCTTAACTAAACCCTAACAAAACCCCGACTTGCTTGCGAACTGCTGATTACAAGAGAGAGAGAGGTTCCAAGTTTCGGTTCTTGAGAAAATGATCCGTGGTCGTCTCATTTCGTCAGCGTCCTGGCTAGTGAGGCGCCTTTGTACGGCTTCTGTGGAGGCGGCGCCGGCGGCCGAGTCATCGAGACGTCATGGAAAACTTTACAGGAAGTTATCGGCTCTGGGAGCGACCGGGGGAACAGTGGCACAGGTGCTGGATCAGCACATCATGGAGGGTGGAACTGTTAGGAAAGATGAGCTTTCTCGCATCATCAAAGAGCTCCGCAAGTTCCGTCGCCATCAGCATGCCCTTGAGGTTTCCCCCCACTCTACCATTTTCCCTCCTTTTTCTGCTTTACTGATTTTGTCTTAAAACCTAGAGAACAAAAACCAGTCTTGGTCTGGATTGCTGCTGATGTATGCTTGCCAATGAAGTGTAGTTTATCTGGCTATTCTAGCTAATCAATAATGGTTTGAAAAGTATGAGAACTTAGTTCTTCCAAGCTTAGCACTATCTGGGGAGAGAAAAAAAACCCTTATTGTTCAATGTTCTCAGAAATCCATAATCATGACTATGGTGTTTATGTCAGTAGCTTATGTCAGTAAGTTCTGCTGCATTTACTATTTTTACACAGTAGCAATAATGGAGAGGCAGGGGAGCTGTTAGTTCTTCCAGGGATGACACTGCTTGAGGAGGGAAAGCGATCCTTATCGTTCAATGTCCTTTCATACTCAATTCAGAACTCGATAATTCAAAACTCACACCATTGTTTTGAAGATTCTGAATCAACTTGTGCCTGAGATGAATCTGGATAGTTAGACATGACACCTCTGTCTTAGAATTCATCTTCAATAATGAATGCAGCACTACATAGAACCTAGATTTCAGCCATAACTGTTAGGTCCCATTCAAAGCTTGTAAGGAAAGAAAAATGTTTTCTGCTTAAGGTGAGAAAAGAACCCAGAATTTGGAATGATTTTCTACTTGGTTTTTATTCACATGTCGAGGCTTTAACTAGCCAAAGAGGGATTACAAGCTAATAACTACTTCCTAATTCTACGAACATGATTTCCAAAGAAAGAGATAAGGGATAATGGTCCACTTCTGTTGTGGAGAGCTGCTGCAGAGTCGAATTGGCTGAATGTGGATATGGTGGACCGGTTCTGTAGGGATGGTTGGTGCACGTGCGGTTGACTGGGTCATTTTCTTCAATTCTGGTATTTTGGGTCTCTTGTGGGAACACGTTGGGATCTACGGATGCTAACAATAACTTTTCAGATAGGGGGACTCTTGACATGGTAAACCTTCTAAAAGTTTTGGAATCTGTTCAACTTAATACTTAATTAGACAAAAGGATATGGACCTTGGAATCTTCAGGAATATTCACTTGCAAATCTTTTTTTTAACATCTCATCTCCAAACATAACGAGAACCCAGCACATAAGTCAAACAAGTTATGGAAATCTTCCGTTCCTTCCAAAGTCAACGTGTTTACTTGGACTGCCATTCTTTGAATGCTAAACACCATGCTTCAGGTCTGCTGACCTAATTGTGCCTTGTCTCCAGATATATGCGTGATGTGTTTTGCAGGAGACGAGACGCACTCACATCTGTTATTGCACTGTAATACATCCTGGAGGTTTTTGACAGAGTTGGTCAACCCGTTCAGTTTTTGTTGGATTACTCCACCGATGGTGGAGGTGTTCATGAATTGTTTTTTGAATGGTGAAGGTTTTAAATACACAGGCTAAGGCCCTCTGGAAAGGAGCTCTCTTTGCTGACTTTTGGAGCATTTGGCTTGCAAGGAATTGCCTGTCTTTAATGACTAGCCACCCCTTAATAAGAGCTGTGGGAGAGAGCCAATTTTTTTGCTACATTGTGGGTTAAGGCCCACGGCCATTTTCCTACCATTTACATCTCTGACCTGCATCAGAATTGAATGTTTTCATTTCTAGGAGTTAGTTTTTTATTTTGTTTACTTTTATCTTACTTTTCTAGCTTGTGGAGGATATCTTTTCCTTGCTTGTATTCTTCTTTCCTTTTTTATTAGTAATTTTTCTTTTCCTTTAAAAAAAAAGAAAGTTCCAGCTCGTGACTCATTTGTCGCTCTGATACAGATTATGGACTGGATGGAGAGGAGGAAGATGAATTTTTCCCACCCTGATCAGGCTACCCGTTTGGATCTTATAGCCAAAACTAAAGGGATAACAGCTGCTGAAAATTACTTCAGTGGCCTCTCTCCAGCTGCTAAGAATCAATTTACTTATGGAGCTCTTCTGAACTGCTATTGCACAGAGGTTATGACAGACAAGGCATTGGCTCACTTTGAAAAGATGGATGAACTGAATTTTGTTTCTGGTTCTTTACCTTTTACCAATCTGATGTGCTTATATATGAAATTGGGAAAACCCGAGGAGGTGCCTCGTCTTGTTGATGAAATGAAGCGGAGAAAGATACCTTTATCCACCTTCTCATATTCTATCTGGCTGCAGAGCCTGGGAAGTTTAGATGATATTGAAGGAGTAGAGGAAGTTCTTGAGGAGATGGCAAAGGATGGGGAAGACAAATCCACTTGGAACACATACGCTAACCTGGCTGCAATCTATGCTAAAGCTGGGCAGATTGAGAAGGCCAAGTTAGCTCTTAAAAGTTTGGAGGAGAAGATGAAAAAACGGAATCGTGAACCCTACCATTATCTTCTCAGTATATATGCTGGAATTTCAAATCCTGCTGAGGTAAATCGGGTGTGGAATTCCTTGAAGACAGCTATTCCTGGTGTTAACAATATGAGCTACCTAGTCATGCTTCAAGCCCTTGATAAACTGAATGATGTTAGTGGTTTAAAGAAATGCTTTGAGGAGTGGGAATCCAATTGCTCTCATTATGATATGAGACTAGCAAACGTCACCATTCGCAATTACTTATCGGCTGACATGCACAGTGAAGCTATTTCGGTTTTTGCCAATGCTCGGAAGAGGAGTTCAGGGCCGTTTTTGAAGGCTCACGAAATGCTAGTGATTTTTTACTTGAAGAATCAGCAGCCTCATTTGGCTCTGAAGCATTGGGAAGAAGCAATATCCGGAGAGGACAAAAACTGGAGTTGGAGCTCTGAATTAGTGAGTGCCTTCTTCAAGTATTTCCGGGAAGGAAAAGATGTCGATGGAGCTGAGGAGTTCTGCAGGGGGTTAAAACAATTTGATTGTCTTGATTCCAATGCCTATTCTTTGTTGTTGAGAACTTATATAGCTGCTGGCAGATCAGCCCCGGAGATGCAAAGGAGGCTGGAGCAAGACAACATTGAAATAAACCAAGAGCTTGAGGAATTGCTTGCAAATGTCTCTTCCATTTTCAGATAAAATCTGGCTAGGAGATTAATCTTGGATTGTTATCTTAATGCCCTAATGACTGGATGTGATGCGATGAAAGCAATTCAAGACTAACGAGAGCCAAGTTATTAATCATTTTCTTTTTCTGGCAAATCACACTACATTTATTATTTGAAGTAGTTTTTTTTATCATTTTTTTCTTGGTTCTATATATAGTTTGTCATGTTGTGATTCAATCTCAGTTTTGTCTCTGTAATTTTATTATATCAAAATTCAATCTCTGTTAATTTATTTTGATAATTCAATAAATTATTGGTGGCTTCCTTATTATTATTTTATAATATATAAAGTTCATTTTAGTTTTAATTTTTTGTAGTTAATTTATTTTTCTGTTCGCTTTTTAATTTTAGAAAATAAAACCAGTCTTTCAATAATACCTAATATTTCAATTTTATTTCACAACGATTTATAAAATTACAAATCTCTCTACCCACCCGACCGTTTACTTTTTTTGTCTTAAAAAAAGGAAATCGTACAACCCGACCCGATTCCGAAAGCATCTACCCCAATACAATCATAAAGAAAGGCCATCCCGCCAGCAAACTGCTCGTCTAAACATACTGGTTCCCCCGGGGTTGCCCACCAAGGGGATACGTAGTGGGGTACGTAGGAACCGCAGTAGCCGTTCCAACAGGTTGCTGCCCTTGAGCAACCGGCCCAGGCGGAGTGCTAACCATGGGCTCGGCGCTCACGACAGGCTGCTGCCCAGTGCTAGTAACACCGTACGCGGGATTACTAGTTCCAAATCCAGCAGGATGGCTGGCAGCAACTGGAGTTGGCGCATAATGTTTGTGGCCGGCGAGAGACCCCTGCTTGGCTCTCAGCTTCTGGGCTGCGTGTTCGGCTTTGGCTTGGTGCAGTTCCATCTTAGCTTGTGCTTCCTTAGCTTTTCTACGCTCACGGGCTATATGTTTCTGTTCTTCCGTCGTCGCCGTCGCTTTCTCCAGCTTCTCTTCAGTTTTAGCCATGCAGATTTTGATGTGCTCCTTCGTTGAACTTGCCATGTTGCTTATTTTTTCCTTGGCAGATTGCATCTTCAACTTTATTTTTTGTTTGAGCTCTGAAGGAAACAAGTTTTGATGGGAGAGCGAAAGACAATGTTCGTGGATATATGTGTTCTATGCATGCGGTAATTAGATTAGCGACGCTCTTGCTTATTCACACGTGTGCTGCCGGCAGACACGTGTCTAACATGCAGTTTCATGTCTTGCCAAATAGGACCATTCCAGCTTTTCATTTGGAGATAAGCAAGCAATTCTTCGAATTTTCTGGAAAGAAAAATTTCGGCTTCAAGAAAAATGGCGATGTTGAGATATTTATCATATATGTGTATATACATCTATATAAGTATATATTTTAATATCTCGTAATATACGCTCTACCTAAGTTACCTGATTCAATTAAATGCAAGTTGAAAAGAATTTTATACATAATAATCTAAAAAAACAAATTATATTTACTTAATTTGATAATTTATTTTTATTCTTAAAACACTTAATAATATTATTTTTTAATTTCTATTTAATACCATTTTCCAAATCAATCTCTTTAAAACAATTACTTGTTAATCAATTTGTTGTAATTATAAAAAAGTTCATTAGAAATCAAATTGAATGAAGATTAACAAAATCAAGGCCAGTATTTGTTTCGTAATAAGAGGGAAAATCTAAAAGCTGTAATTTGATTTCACTAGTTTTTTCTTTTGGGGAAAAAATCCAAAATGAAAATTACATCAAATTGATATTTGATAGTACAAAATATAATTAACAAAAATATACCCTTTCTATGTTTCAGTTATACATGCCATGCATTAATCAATGAGAGAAGTTTTAAGAAAAACTTGAAGCTTTTAAGCAAAGTATTCCATCCTTTGGTGGCTCCAGACAAAAGATGATTTTCACAGAAGTCTCTCTGCCTTCCCGTGACAAGCTTCTTTGCAGGGCCATGAATTCAATTACAAAGGATGAGAGAATCATGCATTGTAGGACAAAATTCTGATTAATTGATGTGGAAACATTTAGATTTTCTGCTGCAAAGTCACATCAATTATGCCGATAGTCGATTTAGGCTGATAGTGCTCGTCGGTATCTACCTCTTCAATTTCCTAGCCAAGAGAAGAAAATTACACAGTAAATGTAAAGATAACTCTTTGAGAGAGCTCGTGTTGAAAGGTCGAAAGTGTTGCTTGCTTTAGGATTAGAAAGAAAGGTATAAACAAGAAGGAAAATCACGAGATCACCATTTTCCTATCAAATATGACAGGAAGATGAAGGACACAGAGAACAATTCCACAAGTCAACCATAGAAACATATTAGCTTGGTGAAGTCATGTAACACGGGTAAGCCACATATATGGCTTGGGTGTTTAACAGAATATTTATATCAGACTTTTATGCAAACAAAAAGTTCAAATGCATAGTATGACAAACGGGAGGGAGTCAGAGTTATACCACTAGAATTGCATGTCAATTTACAAAAATGAAAAAAAAAAAAAAAGAGATTCATCACAAACAGGAAGGAATTAGAATTTTTTGTCACCTGAACAACATCCTCTCCCTTGACGATCCGCCCAAAAATAGTAAGCTTCTCATTTAGATCAGGTATTGGTGCAGTTGTGATGAAAATATCGAATCCTCCATCATCATTTTTAGCCTTAGAAGTTCCAACCATGAAAGCTTCATGTTTTAAACTGGTTGACAAACACCACAAATCTTATATCACAGAGACATAAATGTGCCATGTACCACCACCCCGTGTAACTATTGACAGGACGCCAAAAACTTATAAGAGGAAAAATAGGGATTAAAGATCAGTTAGCATATAAACCTAGTATCGAGTCGATTGTAATGCTTCCCTCTCAAAGTCCAATCTTCAGTTGCCCCTAACTCATTGTTCCCTGCTTGGATTACATAATGCTTTATTACCCGGCGAAAAAGCATCCCCCTGAAGTATCCTTTTTGACTGCAGAAACAATTCAATCCAAATTCCGTTAGGATCAACTTTAGTCTTTATCATGCATTTCTTACTATTCAGTTGGACAGGCATCAGAATTCAGAAGGATATATCATATGCATCAAAAGAGAGAGAAAAGAAATTGCCTTGCAAGATGTTTGTTGAGGGATCAACCTACCACTCATAAAATCACACCTTGACTTTGAAATTACAAATATCTAAATATTCACTAGTCCATAAGATAAAACATGGCAGCTCAGATTTTCAATAAGCTTGCTGATATTTATCAACTGAATAATAATCAAACCTCCATCAACACAGTTTGCTGGGTACCAGTTCCATGATAGTCAAAATCATCCATTAGATTCATGGTAACAAGAAAATAGCATAAAAAATTAAGAGCAAAAAGCAAGAAGCAACTACTACTTAGAACATCTCCTGCCTTCCTGGCACATATGGGGTAAAACACTTGGATTTAACTCCAGATCAATTTTACAAAATAAAACTAGATCAGAAACTGGCTTAGGTCCACAACCAATGTCAGGAATAGGAGAATACAATTTATATCAGAAGGATCTAATTCTGTTTTTCAAATATACATATACAAAATTTAACATTAATATGTCCACAAATAGAATGAGCAGTATGCAAGTTTGATGAACAAATCAACAGCTTACCATAAGTCAATGAATTCATCAACAGCTTCTGGAGAGCTATCCTTGAAAAGTTCCACAGTTATAACACCCCTTGCGGTATTCAAAATCTAGCAATAAGAGAAAACAAATAAACATAACAATAACATATGGGCGTGGGTGGACTTTTAAATGTGCTCACTTTAAGAACAACCAACAGGAGTTGTGTGATTCAAATGTAAGTTTGAACAATATTGATTCGAGGAACCTATGACACTGAAAATGACTTCAACAATAATAGAAGTCATAGTATTGCATGTAGGCATCAGTAGCCACCTTTAGCTGGATTTTCAATCTCCTCTTAAACACTAACCATAAGATATTCTATGGCCATAACACATAACAAGTGTTCAACCTAGTAAGAGGCTTTCAAGCAAAAACAAGGAGCAGGAAAGCAACTTTAGCTCAGGATATAGAGAAACCTACAGCATATCCAGGGAGATCGTGTTTCTTTGGATCCACAAATGCATTACCCTACAGGATATAACAAGGAATAGTCAGGCATGTTCTATCAACATAATTTGGAGTCATTTCCTACTTGAAAAGAGAAGATAATAAGCCATGATCAAATGGAGTTTTGTTTCTTGTATTAACAGTAAACTATCATAAGAAATCGGACATCAACAATTATTTAAAAGTACAGGAGTTCTAACCATAATGATCAAAACCACTGAAAAAAATAGAAAGGTCCACAGAAAAAACTTTACCTCAATAATGGATCTGCCACTATCTGTTTGAATTCTTGACCTAAAGAAAAGCTATGAAATGAGAATAATTGAATAATAAAAGATCTCCTTTCTTCTCCTCAAAAGAAAAAAATTGGACGACAAAGATCCGCGACAAATTTCAGTTCCACATTGACAAAGAAATACAGAACTTCTCGGTATCCAAGAAGAAGGGCTGAAATCCTTTTTTTAATTAAATTTCTAATAAAATACCCAATCCCAACTCATGGTGAACATTTTCATCAGTTGTAATTTAGTTAAGGCTTCCATAATAGTCGATTTCAAAACTATAGATTATCATGAATAAGTAAAAGAAAAATAATTAACAAATTCCATATATATCTTTTGCTTCATAAAATTAAGGATTAGATTTGAATATAACTGAGTGAATAACTGCAAACATTTTGCATGTTCAGCCAAGATACATAAATATGAAGAAACCATAAAGAACACAGACCTCTGAGACCAGTGTTTATATGTGACAAAGAGAAAGGACACAGTCAAGATGATAATCAAGCTGCAAAGAATGATAGTGGTAGCACTTATTCGAGTTGGCCCTTTTTTCTTTTTGCTCTGTTGTAGAAGAGTTTGGGGCTTTATTCTTGCCATCACCCACTGCTCTGCTACCTTCAATTACTACTGCTACACAAATGTATCATAAACTCAAATGTCAAATCCTAAAATAGATAGACAAGCAAACTCTATAAAGAAGAAGATAAAGTTAGATTTGGCATTTCAAATTTTCTAATAAGAAGATAAGCAACTTCTCTAAACTAGATTAGACATTTCAAATTTCAAAATTTAAATCATCTGGACGTTACTGATGAAGGACCCATCAGACGACTATGGAGCCATAATATTATTACTTTCTAAATTAATAAAATCCTACTCAGAGACGCTTTTTTTTTTTCACACAAAATAAGAAAAAACACTCTTCCGTTACGAATTTCTTCATTGCATTCAGCACCAAGATGTGCATCGAGCAAATTCAGAACTTAAAAAGGATCCACAAATCGAGCATGAGGAAAGGTAAGCTAAGTATAACTGTAAAGATGAACCCTAAAATTGGAAACTAACACAGAATATGGCAAGATAAGTGGCAGAAGATTATATATTGTTCTAGTTCTCCGCATTTTTTTAAGTTGTAGAAATGGATTTCCTCGAGAGGGAAAGTACCTGGGATTCCTCCGCTGAATCGAAACCCTCTGCGGGGACAGTACACGGAGCAGCCTTTATGATCTCGCCAGATAGAAAAGGAAGACAACAGGATTAAAGTCGTGTCTGTTTGTTGGTTCAGATGATTATTTTCTGGTTTTCTTCCACCAAATTGTCGATGTTGCCAAATTCAGGTCAGTTAAGTTTTGGATTCGCGACTGCCATTAAGAACCCTGTACCCAACATTTTTTGCTGAACAAAGAAATTACAAAACGACGCTGTTTAATAAGAGCATGGAGTTTATGTATTACACTTTTTTTTCTTTCTTTTCTTCTTGCTTTCTCTTCTTCTCTTACTTTTTTTTTTTTTAAAAAAATATTATTTTCTGGTTTTTTTTCTTTCATTTTTTAGTTTCTCCTTTTTTTTCTTTTGAACTATTTTTTATCAATCTTATTAAAAACTTATAGAAATTAAATGGAATTAAAAATAAAAATAAAAGTAAAAACAAATGAGAGAAAACAACATCAATAATTATTGTCATTTCATTATTATTACTATAATTATTATTTCTATCAATTTTATTATTAATATATATATATATATTTCTTATTTAATTAATTATTTTATTTCATCTGTTAAAAATCGGAGTATGAGAATAAGGGGAAAAAAAAAACTATATATACTAAATAAAATCTAGGCAAAATTTTGAATAAAAATTTGTGAACTTTATGATAAAAAAAACTACATACATTTAGTAAAATCTTGACAAACATATATTCTTTGTCACAAATTTTAAATTTGTTCTGACCATTTCATAAAAAGAAACTCTTCATTCCTGAGATAAAATCAGCTTAAAAGAGAAAGATATATCTCATTTCTTTTAACGGTCTGTATTAATCCCCTAAATAAAAAATTTTAAACTCACAACAACCCCTCAAAAAAACCTCTCTCTTTACATAAAAAATTCAACCTCCAAACTATACCTAATCTAAGTGTATTTACACTTCAAATGCACTTGAAGTCACCTTCCTGCTGTTCGAGGATAATGGTAGCGAGTGCAAGCCGATAAGCCGAAGATCTAAGGTTCCTAACAAGGACATATATCTCTCTTCTCCTCCTTTTCACAGACATACTACTCCACTGCTCCTCTCTTAGATGAGCTAACAAGACTGCATCGCAGAACGCCTCTGCTGTTGGCTTCTTGCTGCACATGAGTCCGAAAAAATATCACAAGGTTATGGAGACATACATGTCAGAAGAGATGGATTGACAATTGTAACATATGTAACAACAGGCGCTCACCTTCCACAAACAAACCCAGTTGTAATAAAACCAATTGGCCAACGATAAGACTCCCTAACAGCTGGGTCCTCTGGAATATGAAGTTCCCATTCCCCAGAAGATTGCTCTTTGAAGTATGATCTTACAGCAGATGCAGGAATGGTGAGTCCACCTCCTTTACTTCCGGAACTGCAATATGGACATACAACAGATATTTTCTTGTTAGGTGATAAGTCATTATATATAAGGTGGCAATATCTTTCGATTTCAAAATAATAATAATAATAATCTTGTTATAATTCAATCTGAAAGACCTTTGCAAGTCTAAAAAGTATATGTAAGGTTTACAGGCGATTTTCTCAAGACTAAGTTCTCACAGTTTAGACATACATTATGTAGTTAGTTCAATACCCCAAATAGGAAATCGGAGAATCATAAGCAGTATCCAGCTTGTTAAACAAGGGAAGCTATTTATTTCCAAAGCTAAATAATTTACCTGGACGTCCACAATGATATATCTCCTAAGCAAGGCGCACATACAACTGCCCCATCTTCAAAAACTCCCTCCTTGTACGCATGGAGAAGAACTCTAAGAAAACATAATTTACGATCATAATGAATTTGCGAAATCCTTTTCTGTCCCCGGCTAAGCATGTTTTCATCCTTCATACACGTCAGAATACTTGTGTTCCCTTCTGGAACTTGAGGAAATAAAAGTAAATGATCACAATGGATATCACTCAAGAAAGAAGCAAGCATGGTGGATGTCCTTGCTACCATTTTGTTGGAGGAACTATCATGACAGCCAGATGCTGTTAAATTGCTCTTTTCACTACCCAACTCTGACAACAGACTACCATCTACCACATTCTTTATATGCGAAAGGTTAGTATCTTGTGCTGCAATGGATACTTTGCTGAAAGTAACACCGACACTATTCCAAGGGGGTGGAATGGGAACTCTAAAAGATCTTTTAGCAGGAGGCCGCAGTTCTGCCATTTGGTCAGTGGCAGTTGCTTCAGCTGCCATAAAGGATGAGTACGCATCACAATCAGGAAAATCTGAAGGAAAATAAGGCAATCCAAGCTGCAAAAATGAAAAATTACATAAATATTTTGGATAAAGTCATACATAAACCCAAAGACTAAGGTAGATACACTTACTTCACATGCAACCCAACGTTTCTCTCTCAAACCAATGACATGAGCACCATGCGTTACAAAAGTAACCCAAAAGACTCCAACCCAATTTAATGGGAGGATGATAGACCACCTGAAAGATGAAAAGAATAAATAACTTTGGAGGATTAACCAAAACTTCTTGCTCATGCATCTCAAGGGGGCATATCATAAAAGAGATCACAAAGACATATGTTGATATGACAATAAGCCAATCCAAGCTCATCTTGCAATATATAGTACAAAGTAAAACATAATTGTAGAATTGTTTGCGAAGGCAGAAAGCTTGACGGCCTTAGGATAAGCGAAAACAGGTGCCGGAAATCAGGTATCCATCTCCCTCAACAAAACCGAAGTTGCGTGGATCATAGACGCCCTTAACAATTTTTACTGGAACAAGGGAGGACCTCATGGAGGAAAAATATCAAAAATCGACATAATCATCTCTACTTGGTCATGATTTGGAACTGTTGAAGCAGAGTCTTGGTTCTGTCGGAAGAAAGAGCAAACTACATGCGAAGGATTTTTTTCCCAGACAGCTACGAGGCCGGAGGATAGTGGTGCCTCATGAAATCAATTTTCAAACTGGCTGAAGTCCCTTTGGTTAATCCTTTCAAAAAACAGTCCAGAAATGGTTGCGAAAATCTCCACTCTGTCACGAGGCCAACACAGCTTTTCACGTTCAACATGTGCTGTCCCAACTGTAACTGCAACTTCCAAATCACAGTCGCTACAGTGGCAAAAAAAAAAACCTTTGCGTCGGCTTTGATGTCCTCCGACCCAGGTCCCCTTCGGGTCTCAATGGCCCTACCCGCCCCAAAAACCAGCTCCAAAATGAAAAATTTTCAAAATGGCCCTGATAAGGAGACAAACTCTGTCATCCCAGAAAGCTGCCAGCCACAGATGTGCTCCTTCGGGTCAAAGAGGCAGAAAAAGCAAAATGAGAGCTCCAATGGACAGATCACGATGAGAAAGGAAAATTGACAGATTTTTTTTTGAAATAGAAGAGAGGAAGTTGTATTTAGTGTAGGCACCAAGAGGGTGCTGCCCATGTACAAAAAATTATAAGTTAATGAGCATATCTACTACAATAAAACCAAAATCATCAAGGCTAATAAGGTTATGTCCTATAATAATAGACCCAAAAAAGTGGAACCATTTGTCCTTGATGTTGCCAAAACTATCCTATGTGCCTTCAAACGCTCGATTGGGGACAGATCATGCTGGACAAACCATGCTGGACAGAGAAAGAAAAACCAGCAGACAGAAAAAGGAAAATGAAAACAGGCCCCACTTACAAAGAAGAAAAAACTTTGAAGCCCAGGCTGTTTTGGGCTGAGAAAGGAAAATAGACAGATCATGCTGTACCAAGCAAGCCCCTTCAGAAACATTCCAGCCCAAAAAAGAAGACAAAAAAATGAAATGGGAATGAAGAGTAAAAAAGAAAATAACACCTGCTGAACAAACACCCATAGCCGGGAATAAGAGTTCTCCTTCAAAAACAGATTCTAGGAAGCTATTGACAGGGGATATGACAGCAATGGTCTTCAACTCCAATGACACCATCAGAATCGTTTTCCTCCGACAGAATAGTGATCAATTTGGAAAATGAACAAATCTCTCTCACAGGTATGGAAATGGTAAAAATTCAAAATGAGCATTCTCTTTCCTGTATAAGACCTTGGTCGGCAATATTCCACAAGAACAGACTAAATTTCCGGCTAATATTATTAGCAAATCGGATGCCACTTTAAGAATTTCTTTTTTTTACATGGGAAGCAGCAAAGGGTCGCATTCTTACATTAGATAATTTAATGAAAAGAGGCTTTATAAATGTCAATAGATGTTTTCTCTGCAAAAACAGCAATGAAACATATAATCACTTGCTCCTGGGATGTCAGGTCTCTCATAGCCTCTGGTTTACTATTCTTAGCCTCATGGGGCTATTTTGGGTCAAACATAAATCAATTTTGGATAAGCTGCTTGCATGGGAAAGATTGAGCTGTCACAAGAAAACTTTTAGACTCATCTCTCTCACTATATTTTGGGTTATTTGGAAGGAAAAAAACAATCGTACTTCCGAAGGAAAAAAAGTCGACTTCAGAATCATCACTAACAATTGGTTCCATTATTTCGGGTCTACTATTTCAGCACATAACATCAAATACTTTGATGATCTCGGCTTTATAGTCGATTGTTTAATCGATTTGTAAATTTTTTGTAAATGGGTGGTGCCCCCTTGACACCTTTACTTCAATACAATTTCATACTTTTATTTCAAAAAAAAAAAAGAGCATTCTCTTCCTCCTTTGCAGATCATAAAAGTGGAGAGCTTGGCGGAGGTGATCAACTCTCTTGATCAAATCCTCAAAGAGAAGCAAGTTTATGACACCTAAATGCTTTCAAATTGGATATTTGACAACATGCACTGCATTAGTACGTATCTTGGTGTCTCCTACCTTGGATATGACAAGAGTATAAAGCTATTATTTACAGACTTGCAGGAATACTCATTTGATCAATGTAAGGGCAGGCTGTTAGCAGGAGGGAACAAAAAGAAACAGAAAGAGGGAAGCTCACGAGAACGCAAGAGATTACAGACATCTATCAACTATGATGTGCGAAGCAACAAGGGCAAGGAAAGCGGGGGGACCTCAACTGATTTATAGTGTTTGACAAAATCCTCTCTTAGAATGTTAGGGGACCAAACGATGCCTGTAAAAGAGAAGTCATAAGGGGTTGCATCAATAGATGGAAATCATCCATTTTCTGTCTTCAGGAATCCAGGTTGAGTGTCGTCAACGAGAAAATGATCAGAAGTATTTGGAGCTTGAAAGACATTGGTTGGAGCTCTCTGCAGGAGGAATCATTATTATGTGGAGAAAAGACATCATCCTGGTGATGTATCTCTTTCTTGCCTTTTCTCAAATTTATCTAACGGAGACAATTGGTATTTCTCTGGTGTTTATTGCAGAGGAAATACCACAGAACGAAATCTGTTGAAATTAGAATTGGAACATATTAAATCTTTTTGGGGGTATAAAGGAATCATTGGAGGTGACTTTAACATGGTCCTAAGAAGATAAGAGAGATCGGGAAACCACTTCCCAGATGCTGAAATTGAGGACTTAGTTTCTCTCATCAATAATCTGGACTTAATTGATTTGCCACTTGCGAGAGGGAAATGGACCTGGAGCAACTTAAGATATCAACCTTCCTTCTCTAGGATTGATAGGTTCCTCCTTTCTTCTGATCTATTATCATCCTTACCGAAATCCATTCAAAAACTCATGCCAAGACCCATCTCGGATAATTTCCCCATCATGATGGTTTCGCATGGTATTAAGTGGGTCTCGTTCCTTTCCGCTTGGACAACAAATGGCTCAAACATGAAAATTTCAGAATGCTAGTAGCAGTAACTTGGAGGAACACTATGGTCAGGGGCATTGCAAGCTTCAAAATTGCTCATAAGCTCAAGATTTTAAAGGCTGAAATTAGAAACTGGACCAAAGTCACTGGAAAACAAGAGGAAAAAGACATCTCCGGTATTATAGATGAAATTGCTAATATGGACAGTTTGGAAGCCAAAAATCACTTATCCCCTCAAGACAGAGATGAAAGAAGCAATTTGAAAATTGATCTGGCTCACAAACTTCATTTGGAAGCAATATAATGGAAACAAAAATTTCGAGAAAAATGGCTCAAGATGGGGACAAGAATACAAAATATTTCCACATGTTAGCTAATTACTGAAGAATGATCAACTTCATTGATGAACTCAACATAGAGTGTCCTCAAGAGTAATGATGAACTAAGACAAGGGGCAAGTAAGTACTTTTAAACTTTATATACCGAAAATATTTCCCCTCGGCCAAGGCATGACGATCTTCATTTCAATAATCTTAGCGATGATGACCGGTATTTACTGGAATCAGAATTCTCTGAGACAAAAATCTATGAATGCCTTCGGGATTGTGATGGCAATAAACCTCCTGGACCAAATGGTTTCAACCTCAAATTCATTCAATCTTTTTGGGATATCTTTAAGTAGGACATCATGGATTTCTTTAACGATTTTCACAATCCGGCTCCTTCGTAAGATCACTTAATTCTACTTTTCTTGTCATGATTTCGAAGAAGACCAATCCAGACAATATTCGAGATTTTCGGCCTATAAATCTCATTGGGTGCATATACAAACTTTTTTCAAAGGTTCTTGCTACAAGATTATCTACTGTTCTACACAAGATTATTGGTGAATCTCAGAATGCTTTTGTTCATGGTAGACAAATTGCAGATACCATTCTCATTGTCAACAAAACGGCGAACAATGTCATCATGAATAATAAACAAGGTGTTTTGTGTAAACTTGATATTGAGAAAGTTTTTGATCATGTAAGTTGGGATTTCATTGATTACATGTTGGAAAGATGTGGTTTTGGCTCAAAATGGAGAAGATGGATCAGAACTTGCATTACCACTACTAGCTTTGCAATCATAGTAAATAGGGGCCCTTCAAACTCTTTTACTACTTTGAAAGGCCTAAGACAAGGTGACCCTCTCCTTTCTCTACTCTTCGTTATTGCTATGGAGGCATTGATCAAACTACTGGACAGAGCAAAGGATCTCAAACTATTACAAGGGATCACATTGAGAAGCAAAGACAATCATATGGAATTAACTCACCTATTTTTCACGGATGATGCCCTTATTTTCTACCAACCTGACATTCGCTCTTTGATTTTCTTGAAATGCATTTTATTATGCTTACAAGTGGTATTTGGATTCAAAATAAATCTTCACAAATCTGAATTGGTGGTGATAGGCTCCCAATTTAGAGCCTCCCTAACACAGGTTCTGGGTTGTAAACTCTCTCAATCTTCCATCTCGTATCTTGGTGCCCCCCTAGGGCCCAAATATAAGGATAAAAAATGTTGGGATCCTAGCAAAAATATGTTTCGAAACCAACTTACTAATTGGAAGAGAAAATTCTTATCTAAGAGGGGAATATTAACTCTCATCAAAAGCACCCTATCTAACCTCCCTATCTATTTCCTGTTGATGTTTAACATTCCAACCAGTGTTACTAACACAATGGAATCCATCTAGTGTAACTTTCTTTGGGAAGATGATGTTAATGATAGTAGGATATTTCACCTTGTCAATTGGAAAGTAATCAAAAAACCTATTAAAGATGGTGGATTGGGGTTGAGATCTATTACTACACTCAACAAGACCTTTCTTGGGAAATGTATTTGGAGATTCTAGAATGAAGGTAGCAGCCTTTGGAAATCAATCATCTTATACAAATGGTTTAATGGAGATTATCACAATCACTCCAAAATCAAAAACAACATCTATGTTACTAGTCTATGGAAATATATTTGAAATCTAAATAACATCATTCTTCACAATTCTAAATAGATCATTGGGAAGGGTAATAAAATCAGATTTTAGTCAGACATTTAGCATAACATAGTTGCTCTCCAAACAAGATTCCCCTTTATTCATGCTATCGCCAGAGATTAAAACATTTTGGTAAAGGATGTTCTGGTTCATGACAGCCCTGGTCTTTGGCAGGTGTCCGTATCCAGAAATTTACAAGACTGGGAATTAGAGGAATATTTAGCTTTGCTACAGACTCTATCTACTAGTCAGGTTTATGACAGGGAGGACCAACTTAAATGGCTACCCTCCAAAAATGACATCTTCTCTGTCGGATCTCTCTACAACTCCATGACGGACAATCTTAGTCAGAACAATATCTTTTTCCCTTACAAGCTAATTTGAAAATCTGGTGCAATCCCAAAAATTTCGTTTTTTGGCTAGAAAGCAGCAAAAAGCCGCATTCTCACCCTTGACAACTTAATGAAAAGAAGTATCACGATTGTTAACAAATGTTGCCTTTACAAAAACAACTTCGAAACCTGCAATCATCTGCTCCTTGGCTGTGAAGTCTCACAACACCTCTGAAACAGTATTCTTGGCCGAATGGGATTGTCTCGGGTCATGAACAACAACATTTCAGCAGAACTTCTTGCACGGGAGGACTTTTGCAGCAAGAGGAAAATCTTAAAACTTATCCCACTCACCATAATGCGGGTTCTTTGGAAGGAAAGAAACAATCGCACTTTTGAAGGAATAGAAGTAAATTTTAACAAAATCATAGACAATTGTTTTTATTATTTTGGTTCCACTATACTGGGACATAATATTGACTGTTTAGATGATCTAGGTTTTGTAGTTGACAATTTAATCAACTTGTAAATACATTATAAATGGGTTGTGCCCCCTTGGCACCCTTACATCAGTACAACCCACACTTTTATTTCAAAAAAAAAATTGTAGAATTGAGTTTTGTAGAAAAGTTATCAATTATTTCAAAAGCTCATGGTAGAATTCAAATTCTAATTGTCTAAACTAAAGGGCAAGAGAAATAGACTTCATAAATTGGATTCACCAGGAACAAGCAGCTTGATTCCATTGATAAAACAAGCCTCAGAAGATAAAAGCAACCTTTGTCTTGGTAATAAAAATCACAACAAAATATATTTTGAATTCATAAGACAATCGCAATCAAGATGTTCCCCCTCACCCAAGAGAGAGGGAGAGAAAAAGAGAGAGAGAGAGTGAAGAGAGAAAACTTCCATCAAAATGCCTGCTACATGAAAATGGAGGGCAGTCAGGTATTTGTACTCACATAAACCAAAGAAATGGTAATTTTTGGTGTCTCCATACAGCTCCCATACAGTAGCTCATTATAAGGGTGCTCGCTATACCTCCAGCATAAGACCCGAACAGAAAAATGTTTTCACATTTGAAGAAATAAATCAAACAAGCAAATAAAGTAAAAAGATTCTCAAATCCAAATGCAAAGAAGAAGACAAAACTTCGATGCACGAGGCTTTAAACATTTAGTTATTCACAAGAAACCAAACAAAGAGGGAAAAACAGATAAATTTACCTTGTAAGTGAGCGCATGTGGGCATTATTTTTCAGCAAGAGCATAGGGCAAGATCTTGAAAACTGCACCTCATTTGATGTCTTCCACATCCCAGAATCTGGATTATCAAGAGAAAGGAAATTCAGACGCTGGTGATGTTTTTCCATGCACAGAGCAATATCTTCCATTGGGGGGCTTAATCCACGTCTTGCTTCCCACAAATTCTTGTCATTGGACCAAGTGATCGCTTTTTCAGGTTTCGACTGGGAGGAAAAGAGAAGTTCTTCATTCCTTTCTGAGATTCCTGGCAAGACAAGATCCTGTTTAGCTTCACCATCTGGGACACAGTCAAGTAACTTCGTAATATCTGCAGGCTGTTTATTAGGCATTGTTCGAGGATCCTTGACAGTGATAGGCAAAATAGCACAAGATGAAATGTCCTCCCCGTTGTGAGGCAAAATGGAACTCATAGATTGAGAATCATCTTCAGATTTTACAAGTGAACACTTTTTCCATGCCCAAGGATTCTCAGAAAAACTGCAACACAATCAACTCCACCACATAAATCTTCTCTTTCTTGTCATGTTTAAAATTATGTATATATATATATATCCACTTCACTCACCAACTAACAGGATGCAAAGTCTTCTGAAGAAGCTCAAATGCCTTTGCTCCAGTTACTTCCAATTTTGCAAGTTGACCCTCGAGTGAGAAACATTCAACCAATGTACCACTTTCCCTTGCCTTCAGGTGAAAGAACAGCGAAAATCAGAATCCTACAGATTAACAACATTTGATATATATTGTAGAAAAATTTCGGATTTAATTTCTTCAAGGCATAATAAACTATGACAAGAAACAAAATCACTATAACCACACCAAAGTGAAACCAAAAAAAAAAAAAAAATCAAATCAAATCACCTGCTTGTCACAAGCACATTGTAGAGCACTAAATGCCTCGCTGAAGGCAGAAGCATGTATCCACACCCAAAGCTGGCGAAAGCAAGAATGACCCTCAGTTTTTTCTGATTCATTAGGCCCAAGACCATCATGGCCTTCACCATCATCAGCCCTGCTCGGTATCTGAGAAGGCCGCCACATGTAAGTTACAGGAACAATTGCCTGAGAAAGAGTTGATCCAACATGATGAAGCTGAAAGAAAAGAGTAACTCATCAATCTAACTCATTAATTTATGCCTTTCACAAAAGAAGGCACACTGGATTGACCATACCATAGCACTTCCGTAAGTCACACCAGAGAGAATAGATCGAGAAATATCTTCAGATTGAGACATTGGAGAAGGCACAAGCACCATTCCCAGTATCGACATTATTGAATCCTGCAAAGTTGAAGTAACCAGGAAAAAAGGTACAACTCAATACAGCTCATAAAAGTGAATGAAAAAAGCGAGCTCAAACAAAGTGATAAAGAAAGAGAAAGAATGCCTGCCTCTGGACCCTCTAATTGCACAGCAATATAATAACTTGCATCATGAACAAGCACTCCATTCTTCAACCACCTCAACACAGCCCTGGATCCCTTTCCTCTGCATCATATTCAACAGAAAACCTCTATACAACATATACACATAACAACGCAGTTAATATACATATACATACCTGCCATGCAAACCTAGAGGAAGATGAAATCCCCAGAGCTTGGTCATTGTAAACCGCTTCGCGTGCCAAACGTGCGTCCTCAGCCTCTTGGTCCCATCACCCGAAGTACAAAATCCGCTTTCACGATTCTTCCTCAGCTCGATTCTCCTCCTGATGCGACGAGGAAGCTTCTTCTGATCCTTCTCTGTATTGGTTCTATCACCTGAAACTTCCACCCTCCGTCTTTTCCAGTGCCTAATCTTCGCGGATTTGTTGTCGTGAGCGGTAGTTCTCCTTCTCTTGTTTCTTCGAGACCGGAAATCGTTGTTCAGTCGATTCGATATCGTCGAGTGAAGAGACTCGAGCTCGGGAGCCCGGGATTCAGCGAATATCTTCACATTGATTCTGCGAGGTGGTAAAATTGAAGAGAGTTGAGAGCGTTTGTTGCTTCCATCACTGGCCATTTGAATGTGGACAAAGAGATAATTAGTGCGAATTAAGCTATAATTAACTGAGCTTAAAGATAATCTCAGCCTGAGCTCTGTTGAGTTTTCGAAACAGAAACACGAAGGACGCTGATAATGTATTGGCGTTATTAATACTCTTCCGCTTCGTTCTGCTTTAATGGCGTAAAAAAAGATTTTACAGAAAAGAACAGAAGAATTTCCGCCCGGCGCTCTGAGCCAGAGTCCAGAGAGAACCTGGAGGTTTTAGGACAGCTCTGGAAAAAGACGGATAATAATAAAGCTGGTCTTGATTTGGGCCTATGGGGCCGAATTTTAACTTGAGATGGGCTGAAATTGGCTTCAGCTTTTGGGAGTAGAAAAGGAAATTTCTCTTTTAAAGATGTTTAAATTTTTCAATACGAAAATAGTTAATTATTAAAAAAATTAAGAATAGTAAATAGAGATAAAATAAATATAAATAAATATCATATATTTTACCTATAAAAGCTGACAAAAAGAAATTACCACCGGCACATATATATTTGAAAGAGGAAAGTTTCTTCAAACTCCCTAGAGGATCTGCATAGTCAACATCAATCAAATTCAAAATCCAATCATTCAAAAATCATTTTTTAGCTAGGAAGTCCATACTTAGACAGAGTCAGATTATGTATGGAATATGTGTTCGATATCTAATTAGTAAAGTGATACGAATTTCTACTTTAAAAAATTCAAATTCTCATCTTCAATGAGGAAAGTACTTCCACTAAGATGGTGTGGAGCTATCACTATAATATAAAGATGACTACAAAGTAGCAAATGCATATCAATAAACAATGGAACATGGGAAAAGTATACGAGTACAAAAGCCTATGAAGTACAAAAACAAGTGGCAGTACAATCCCAAACCCTTATGACTAAAAACTACAGATTTTCCATGGGTATAAACTGGGGATTATTTGGTTTGGATATCCGGTACGCTACGTAAACAGAAATACACAGAGAGGCAACCGAGAACAGAAGAGCAAAGGCACCAGTAACATCTCTTGAGCTGCTTGGCGCAGGCACTGTTAATGTAGCACTACCTGAAGAGATGTCCAGTGGCGTCCAATCACAGTTGATAGTGTAGTGTCCTGATCCATGCCATTCTTTCCCGTCAAGTGGATACCAGAATGCAGCAGACATCTTGCTTGATCCGCCGATCAAGAACTGAACATCCTGCAGATATCGGATAAAGCAACTCATTGGCAAACATTTATAGAAGGTTAATCTTAGAAGAAATCCCTGAGGTAAACATTTATTGATACACCACAGCACAGTAAAATATCATAACTAAACTTTGATGGCTTATTTGTTTTCGGGAGCAAGGGAAAGGATGGAAGATAGGGAAAGTAATTCCGACTTTCCAGTCCATTGACTTGTCAAAATAAGTCATAGCAAATTGATGAAACTATCACAGAGATCTGGTGATGAAATGTGATTATTATTTTGGATTGTTAATCAAGGATGAAGCCGTGGTGATAATCTGATAATTAGAAATAGTTAATTGTCCACCTAAAAGAACCTCAAAGTAGGGCCTGAATTCCTATCCTAACAAATTCAAGATAGAGGTGGTCATAACTCGTACGCAAAACAAAAAGATAAGCTTCAATTATGCATATGAGTACTGATACGAGAACTATAACTAGGAATTAGTAAAAATTTCAAAGAGAAATAAACCAATCAGGCTGTAACCAGTAAGAGTTAATCATCCGAGAAGGTAAACACATAGTAAAATGTTCAATGGTGCACAAAAGAATTAAGGTTTTAGGTTTGTCAACATTTGGTAGCTGAAATTGAAACATTTCTTTTTGTTTAGGGTGTATTGGAACATAACATTAACCATTTTGAAGATTTAGGGTCAGTTGTAAATATTCTTATTGACTTGTAAATCTTTTGTACATGGGCGGCGTTCGGTTGACGCCTCATATCAATATATTTTCTACACTTTTCTTTCAGGAAAAAAAAAACATTTGGTAGCTGAAATGTTCTATATTGCAGAGGTGCTCCTTACCTGTTGGAGTCGGTCCATGGTCCTCAGAGGACGAGAGAATTCGAAATAATATGTTCCTTTCTGACCACCTGATGCAAAAGGACTATCTTCTTCCACAAAACCTGTTATGAACATCAACTTTTAATATTCAAGAATAGAATCAAATAGAGATAACTCAAATTCTAATCAACCTTTCGCCTAAATGTTCATATCCTCACTTCTCTCCATGGAGAAGGGTTCAGATATACTTTGCATTTTCTCCAACATAAAAAGAAATATATATATAATATATATATCTAAAAACTATAAGGAGAATAAGATATAAAGGTCGACCATGTCTGCAGTCAAATATTTGATAACATAAAAAGATGGTGATTTCAATATACATAAAAATTTCAGCCTTTCACCAAGAGGTCATGGAAGCAAGTAAAATTATTTTCTTATCCATTTCAACTCAATTCAAGGTACTTAATGCTCTGTGTACCTCAGCTACTCTTATCCGATAAAATGAAAAGCAATGGTCGAATCAACAGTGACAAGCATGTAGATACTAGAACATCCTGAAAGATCAAAGCCTGCTGAGAGTCTAAAAGTAGGAATGTGGACCATATTCTTCTTGATTGATTAGAAGGAACCAAGTATTCAATCATACATAGAGGTCCAAAGATGAAAATTGAAAGATCATTAGTCAAAGATAGTAATTACCCGAGTGAACAGTCAAGCTACTGTGCCCCCACACCCCCTTCCAATCGTTCTGTGCACTGGAATCATTCCCTGATCAAAATAATACATCAACCATTAAATTATATAGTCACTTTACCATAAGATATACGGATAATTCTATCGTAAACTAAAGATACCATATCCGCCAGCTTTAAGTGGGTAGTAAGTTTTTTTTCGTCAGTGTAATCTAACAATTTAAACAACCACTTACAAATTTGCCTATCATCTCAGCTCACTTGAGAAGCCAAACTGAAATATTATGAGCTTTGTGGTAGATTACTCATCAATAAGGAGTAAGAGATCTGGAAATTTTATCTAAGAACTACTCCTTGTTGAAAAAATGGTACAAACTTATTTAGGAACAACACTTTGATCAAAAAATATATTTTAACTATGACATAAATATGAACTTAAATTATCTAATCTATTATTTAGAAAGGGAATCCAGAAGAAAATGTTTCTCTACTGAAAGGAGAACAGGACACAGGTTAACACTGAAGCAATATGTTGCTTCATCATTTTGTTGAATCTTCCATGAATGGTTCAGAAAAATAAAAGTTCTCCGTCCACTCAATTGATAGAAGCTCCTCCAGCAAACAAGAAAAACACTGGCTACAGAAGTTGGTAATTACTTTTCTTTTTTTAGGCCAATTAATGTAAGAAATTAATTCCAGATCTCATTTGAGATGCTTGATTATGTCTAGGGTCAATAATTGCAGCATTCTTTATCAATCCCTATCCCGAATTATCAAACAGGTGATCTCAAAGAAGTCTCAAGCATCCTCATGGATTAAGTTTGACTGTCAACATTGCAAGAGATGAAGTAATTCAAAAGCAAACACTACTTTTTCAATCTTAAATCAGTTGCAGTTTGGTGGAACTCCTTACAAGGTGTCTCAGTCTCAATGCCAAATGAGGAGGTTAGCTAAGCTCATAAATGAGTCAGGGGAGGTCTTGCTTAGAGAGATCTAAATTGGAGGCAAAAAGCTAGGTTAAACTGGGTAAAGGAAGGCGATGCTAACACTAGGATGTACCACAGGCTAGCTAATAGGTGGAGAAGAAGGAGTGAAATCAAGGAGATAGAATTAGAGAGAGGAGGTGTAGAATAGGATAAAGAGGTAATTTGGAGTGAAATCAAGAAGTTTTACCAGAAGGTATACACAGAAGAGAAAAGGTCTAGACCTTGTATAGAAGGAGCTGCTTGGCTTCCTATTAGCATTACCAAAGCAGAGAAAATTGAAAGACCATTTGAGGAGAAAGAGGTCCCAAATCTATTTGGGGCCACATGTACGGAAAAAGTCCCTGGCCTAGATGGTTTTATGGGTGCTTTCTTTCAATCATGTTGGGACATTATAACAGACAATTTGATGAAGGTATTTCAAGAGTCCTATTTGAATGGAGCATACGTTGTAGCATGAGTTTTATTTTCATCATCTTTATACCAAAAAAAGACAAATCAAGACAGGTTTGAACTATCATCCGATTAGCTTGCTGACTAGTGTCTACAAAATAATAGCTAAGGTGTAGTCTTTACATCTTAGTGAGGTTTTGGATTACAATACCTCACCAAATCCAGGTGCCTTCGTCCGAGGAAAACAGTCTTGGATGCATTCCTTACAGCTAATAGATTGGTAATATATATGCATATAGTGAGGAAAGAAGGCTTGGTCCTAAACTTAGAATTTGAAAAGGCATACGACAGGGTGAATTGAGGCTTCCTGGATTTAGTGATGAATCGAAAGGGTTTTAATCTAGGTGGAGCAGACAGATATAAAGTTGCTTGTCATCTGTCTCTTTTGCAATAATAGTGAATGGCAAGGCCCATGAATGTTTCAAGGTTCTCAACGTTTAAGACAAGGAAATCTTTCATCTAATATTTCTTTTTACCCTGGTAGTTGATGAATTAAGTAGAATGCTAACTAGGGGTTCAGAAAGACGGGCAACTAAAGGCTTTGTGGTTGGTAATGATAGAGTTGAGGTGTCTCACCTTCAATTATCAGATGACACAATACTATTCCTATCACATGATAATAGATTGATTGCTAATACATTCACGTTATTAAAGGTGTTTGAATATCTTTCTGGTCTCCGCATTAACATGACCAAGAGTGGTTTGGTGGAAATAAATGTGGCAGAGAGTACATTATGAAAATAGCTGAGGTTATAGGATACATGACTTCATTATGGCCAATCACCTATTTAAGTGTTCCCTTTGGTGACAACTTTAATTGTAAATTGCTTTGGGATGGGGTGGTAAATAAAGTATCTAGCCGGTACAAAATTGGAAAAGGGTTCTCCTTTCAATGAGGTATAGAGTAACAATTATTCAAGCTTGTCTATTAAGTAATCTAATATACCCCATGTCTTTGTCTAAGGTACTCATGGGAATGATTAAGCAGCTAGAGAAGTAATGAGGGGCTTTTTATGGGTAGGGAGTGGAGATGAGCAGAGAGATCACTTAGTAAAGTGGAAAGTATATTTTAAGTCCAGAGCTTGTGGGAGATTGGCCCTTTTTTTTTAGATAAAAAAGAAAGTATTATGTATAGACACCAATAGGGTATCGCTCCTGTACAAAATGTTTAAAATTAAGTTAA